CTATAAGATATTTTCATATTATGTCGATTGCTCAATTCTGCATCATATGTTTAGTGTTCTCCCAGTTCACATTTAAACAGCAACCGAGCTATTTATAAGTTAATATTTTCTGCATAATTTTAATGTTTAATGTAATTCTATATTGAGGAAAATTAGAGCTACGAACTACCATTCATTTTGTTTCCTTGTTACTTAATTTAAAAGCAAGTTTATTTTGAGTTCTCCAAGTTCTCACCTCTAGCACATTGTACGTGTCCCCTGCCACTTAATACTCCTACCTTTTTCGTAGCCTTCGTTTTGATATTGCGCCCAGCATTATACTATCTAGGACTCTTTTTGGCAATCTGTTGGCCACTATTCTTACTACATGATCAGCCCATCAAAGTCTTTACAGTTTAACGAAGTCTGAATTGTCGGCGCTTCTTTAAAAAGTTGATACTGTTCGTTGTTGTCTCTAAATCTCCATAATTCGTTTTCGTCAATAGGTATAAATATCTTCCTTAGACTTTTCTTTCACAGACTTCTAGCTTTCTTTGTTTTATGTATCACCACCGACATCATTTGTCGAATCCATAAAATACTATTGGTTTGATAATAGTTTTGTACACCATGATCTTCGATCTCCACCACCTATATTATTTTGGAGTCGAACATATTATGAGCGAGTGACAAACAAACTTTGTTTTTCTTTACTATTCTTTAAATTTAGGGTTCTTCTGTTCCGTACGTGTTTAATCCTACTCGTAAATATGTGATTCTACTGTCTTAATATCGTCCCCTAATGTAACTGTGCGTTTTTTTCTTAGCTTTTTATGTGTTAGCTTTTTGTCTTTTGAGTATTTATTTCAAGTACGGGCTCTTTTCCTATGATTTACTTGTCTAATCTGTATTGATTTATTTTTTAAAAGATTAGTTCTTCCTATATTTAACTATCTTATCACATATTTGAGAGATAGGTTAAAAGGCAGTGAGCTCATTTTTTATTCTGCCATACAAAATACTATTCTATATTATTAATCACACTTATTCCAAATGTATCGCGATTTCGTTATAAAATAAGTTAGAATGTACTCAATAGCAGCGGCGAAAATTTATAACCCTGTCTCACTATTCTTAAAATATTGATTTCTTACGGTGTATAGTGGTCACTTTGAATAGAAATTCGTACTAATAATTACTCTAACACAGATATCTTCCATCTAGTCTCATGTTTTTAGATTTTAGAAATTTTTATTATATTCTTATACTCAAAAAGAATGATGCCCACAGGCCTATACACCGTACAAATCATATTCAAAATAATCTAAAAAATTATTATATTAGTAATTGTTCTAGAAACAAACATAATCTCTGATAACTTTGTCGTTAAGTCTGAAATAAGTACTAGGTAAGCGATTTCGGAATTTAAGTCCTTATAAAAGAGTGCCGAGATTGTAGTGCCAGTATTGAATTTCACATAACAAAAAATAATCACAACAAAAGTAAAAAAAGAAGATCCATCTTTAGGTAAGTCTGGTATATTCTGGTGTTTTTATTTATAAGCTTTGTTTTTATGTACATATACAGATTGAACGAAATAAATTCGGAACATAGGAAACATCATGTATTTCGGCTCATTTCTGCTGTAGGAGGTTGGCCAACAAAAGGTTGTCAAATAATTATATTATAAAACCCAATACTTCTGCGGGCTGCTGGATTCTGAACTCATAAAAATTGAAAGCTACACATAAATCTACGATTTTATTATGCTGTCAAACCACTTATAGTCCAGGAAATGAAGCATTTCACCTCGTATTTTTTTCGTCCTGCGTGGATTAATTTGAAATTTCAACAGAAGGTAGGTAATAGCCTAAGGATCAAAATCTATATTAAACCAAAGTGCGCCAAAGCCTTGGGGTGGTTGCCACCCCATCTCGGGGGTGAAATTTTTTTTTTTACGTTTTAACTACAGGTTTTCGATTAAAAAAGTGATTATAAACAAAAAATGTTCTATACTTTTTTTTGTAAAACTGATATTTTTCTAGTTATTCGCGATTGAAAGTAACAACTTTTAGACGAAAAAATCGACGTTTTTAATCGATTTTTCGCGAATAACTTGAAAATGGTGCATTTTATCAAAAAATTGTAGGGAACAAATTTGTAGCTTTTAAAAAGACAAATACAATTCATTTTTTAAAATGTTTTTGCGATACAATAGGAACCGAAATACGGCCTATTAATGTTCAGCGGTTTTCTTCAAATGCCAAATTTGAAAGATTCAAAGTCAAATATCGGGAAAATGATGTATTTTTGGAAGAAAACTCACGCAACCTTTTTTAAAGAGATAAATAGATCTATCATAAAAAATGACACTAGCTCAAAAATTAAATGAGTTATGATGAAAATAAAGCCAATACCTCATTTTTTTACGAAAAATCGATGAAAACAACCTCCTTACCACTTCCATAATTAAAATCAATCTTCACCCTTCTGCAATTCTCTTTGTACATGTATTGTTAATACGTCCAAGAAGTTTGACCCATTTAAAATGCTTAGTTTTAGAAAAGTACAGCTTAAAGCGAGAAACGATTTAAAATTTCATATTTTTTACCCTTCTTTTTTTAAATATCCCGAAAATACTGAATATATGAAAGAAATAAAATTGTACTAAATTGTAGCTTTTTTAATGACTAAAATTTTCCTTTATTTAGATTTGATGTACAATGAATATTTGGCGAGATATAGCCGTTTTAAAGCATCGATTTACTATCAAGCACCATCTTTTTCGAACCCTTTAAACTCACCCCATTTAAAAACCTAGGGTTCCAAAGAGATTTAATTCACAGATCCTTGTAGCTGTTAAAAACCTCTACAAAATCGTTTTTGAGGAAACACTCTATCGTTAAAAATGAAGGAAATACGTTAAAAAACCAATTAATTTTTTTTTTCGGAAAATTCCATTAGTATAGTATAGTACATTTTGGAGCATAATAATCTACAAAACCGATATATTAGGTAGTGGGGCGTTATACATTCGAAATTTTAAGCGTTCTTATTTTGAAATCCCATACAACAAAATAAAACATTTGCTTATGTTTATGGCTTGGCAATGAAAATATCAGAGCAACAGACTGGGGATGGTATTCCAAAGATGGTTTGTTATTACCCGTACGCATGAACAAACAACCTGCACCCGATGAACTTTTGAACTAATCCAAACCAAATTTCACTCATCTTAAGATTTGTAATGTTATTTTAACAGTTAACAGTTCTACTTCTGTAAGTAGATATTTATGTAATTTCATTGTAATGTTGCTTATCTCTTTGTTTTAATACATTTGTAGAGCACTTCTGATAAAGCCAATTATCAATTGGCGAAATATTAAGTGACTAAAAAACAATTGTGTTAATTCCAGACCGATAGAACCTGACATATATCCAACATAATATTTTAAATATACATATATATATATATATATATATTATATAATATATATATATATATATATATATATATATACTGTTATGATATGTAAAATCAAGAAAATATTGGTTTGTTTAGAAATATTTCAAAGTTCAAAACATTAAAATAATCCAGATAAGTCAAACAATAAACTACAAACATTTCGAAGAATGAAAGTCTTTTAATTTTGGATTACCTGTATTTAACAAAACGTAAGATATGCATAAATTATTTTCTTTGTTAAAATATATTTGTATGACGTGAATAAGCTTAAGTGAAATAAAAGACAATTGAACCGGGTTTTCCAAATACATTAGCGCAGTGATTAGGACAATAGAATAGATTTTAGAAAGATAGGTTTTTGTTAGTTTTTAAGAATTGTAGAAAAATATTATTTGTAAATAAGTTTTAGGAAATTTTATAATTATAGGTAAAAATATGTTTGTTATCGGAATGAAAAAATGGGAGATGGATGACGCGTTTTGATTGGATGAAATTGAAAAAGGTGGGATGATTGGTTGGAGAATGAGACTTTAGTTAGTTTTTGAAACAAAAAAAGATAGTCAGTTGGTTTTCCAAGTGTGTAAGACGAACAGTCATTGTTCTCTGGTGGTTCCCGAGAGGTAGCAAGCAGTAGTGTTGAATGTTAGTGAGTTTTTGTGGAGTTAGTGTATCTGACAGAAGCTGAAGCAGCAAAATATTGTAAGTCATATTTTTCTACTTATATTCCAAGAGTCACTGTTCAGGCCAACGAGAGATTCAGTTTATCGTAAAGAGAAGATATTCCAAGAGTCATTTTTCACTCGGGCCAACGAGAGATTCAGTTTATCGAGAGGAGAAAGGCTATCATAATTTGAATGATTCGTGCTTTTGAAGGAGATCATTAAGGACGATATACGTGCAACAATTTGTTGTAAGATTGCTGATTACCTAGGGAGCTGCTAAGAATAGATAATATAGGCTAACAGGAACAAGGATTTGGACCACTCATCATCAGAGAGAGATCGTTTTGTTTTTCTGCAGTTTTTCTTTTATTGATAACACAATTTTTACAATTACTTTAGAAAAGATATAAATTTTTGATTAGGAGATTTAGAATAATAATTGGGATTTTGAGATTTTAACTAATATTGTTTGTACCAATAATTTTGAAGGTTCACGTACATAGAACAAAATTTTGAGAATCATTATATGAGATTTTGTTTATCGAAAACATTTGAATGTGAATTTCATTTCATTATTTTTATTTCAATATATACTGTTAGATCCTATATGTTTTTTATTATTCCGGTATTCTTTGGACCTTACCTTTCACATGTAATAGCATAGATATTGAAGCACGAATAAAACCCTGAGATAAGAGAATTAAAAATTGTGATAGAATCATAATCATATCATTTAAATAATTTTAATTAATTAATTACTTAATTAGCTAATTAATTGTTGGCGCACTAAGACTTTAAATATCACAATAACATTCAAAAAAAATATTTCTATATTCATTATTTAAAAGTAGAAAGTAGGGTTTCATTTAATCAAAAATAAAATTATTACTTACCATATATTACCAGGGGTATCTTATCAAATAATGGAAAAGTGCAACACATGTAGACAGACAATACATGCCACAATGTAATGAAAAAGACGCTAACCCAAATGACTGGTGTTTCGAACTCCCAAAAAAGAAATTTGTACTTCTCATAGTGAGGCAGCGGTTTCTCGTTTTTAATACTTTCTGCATTATCTTTGATATTTTCTACATTATTATTATTTTCTACATTATCTTCTACATCGCTAATATCGCTAATATCACTAATTTCCTTGGTTTCTTCTATTTTTTCTACTGTGGGTTCTGATTTACTGATATTGCCATTTGTGTCGAGTGGTAGTTCATTGTCGTTACATTTCGGGAGCATCAAGACTGTTTTGCTTACAGGATCAGGCACTAATGGTTGGGATTCCTCTGAGATTTGAGTTAATGTTGTAATCATTTTGTAGTCTTGAGGTCAAAATCTTTGTAGATGGAGAAGTTTAATATTTAATGTTATACCGTTTGGATCATTACTATATCTGAAACAAGGAAATACTTTCTATTAGGACTTTAAGGTACTTTTTTTTACTTTTTGGTCCTCTATTATTTGGACTTTTTATAAGGTATAAGTATATTTTATATATACCTTATAAAAAGTCTTTAATTAATAAATAAATTTTCCTGTTATAAGCTCAGGTACCGTGAAAAATGTACGACATATCCAAAAATATTATTATGTTATGCTACTAAATTAAAGTTAACTAGTTTCAATGCTTCAGCAACAACGCTTGAAGCGATCGTTGATTTTGCATGTCAGTTACTTGCGCGAAATCAATGTTCAATAAAATTTGTATCAGCTCGACAATAAAATTTTTTGATCGATATGTCTTATCAACAAAAATCAAGATGTGTTTTAAAGGTGAAGAGTTTAGCTTTCGTATACAGCTTTGTATTTTGCCGCAAATAAATTCAGATTTTATAGAGGTGTTAAATAAATAAACGTGGCGCGATTTTTGCCATTGTTTATGATACGATATCAATACAATCTATCCCTTTCATTGACTGGTCACCATATTCGATTGCTATAGCTTAACCTTTAAATACTATAGCATACAATTTTAGTTTTAAGTTTTGGCAAAAATGTGAGGCATTTGAAATATTGTTAAAAAACGCTGGATTTAAACTTTCACACAACAAACAATCCAAAACATTTTAAACTTTTTTCAATTACACTAGTACGTTTTTTAAAAGAACAAAACCTCTGCAATAAACTATATCTAAAACCGTCTTTTTAAACGCATTTCCTGAGACGTGTGATCGTGTGTAATGTAAAACATTAAATTCTGCATTTTTTATTCATATCTCAATTGCCTCATATTTGCTACTACAACTCAAAATTGAAATTTCATGTCATAGATTTTAAATTTTGATCTCTAAAAATGGAAATTTTATTATAAACTGAATAACTCAATGAAAGTGATCAATTTTATTGATCTTACAAAAATCGTAAAAAATGGCAAAAATCACGCCACATTTACTTATTTAACACCTGTATAAAATCTGATTTTATTTGCATCAAAATACAAAAATCTGCATACAAAAGTTGAACTCTTTATACCTCAAATGCATCTGCGTTGTTTCTAAGAGAACGGTTTATTTCATACAAAAAATGATTATAAACATTTAAAAAACGTTTAATATGTTTAAACGTTTAAAAATATCTCACCTACATTTTTTATTTGAAAACATTTGTTTCTACGGTGTACAGATTCTTGGTAAATCGACTTTTTTGCGTTTTTACCCCCCTGCGAGAGGGGTTTTAGGGGAAGCCCGGTGGTAAAAGTGGTAACTTTTTTTGCATCTTTTTTGGGGTCACAGAATTAATATACTCGGCTAAATTCATGCTTGTCCGTATGATTTTTAGAAGTTCAGTGGCATTTTTGTTTCTGACGACTGGAGTATACGAATTAAGTCAAACTCGCTATAGAAACCTATCTTTAGGAAAAAAAAGCTTGACAACTTCTAGTAAAAGCTTTTCTAAGAACCTAGATCCAGCATATTCATACCATCTAGGGATAAACAAAGCATCAGTGCCGAAGCCAGTGAATTCCTGTCTTCTATCACCATTATTATTAAAATCTTCCAGTAGATTGGAAAAATACAATGAATTAAGTAGCATCAGACGATATTGGTATTTTTGACACCAAAAAAAAAAATAAAATTTATATATTCATTTTGAGTTTTAATTCGCATTTTTATTTAGATTGTAATAAATTTGCTTTTTAAAAACTATATACTGATATTATTCCTTAACGAATACCAAACAATTCTTTCAAATACGTATTTACCTTTCCGATAAGAACGTTGTAAGTACATTATTCGATGAAACATTATATTTATATCAAAAACTGTAACTAACACAGTTCAAACAACTATCTTCTAATTAAAAATAGCAGACATTACTATTAAAAGAGGAGTTTAATATTTATATAAATATTTTTTATATTAAAAAAAATGTCACATGCGTACAAAAAAGGAAATCAAAGAAATTGTTAGCTTTTTTGAAGAATATCTTAAATAAAATAAGAAAAATAAGAATCTTACGAAGAATAACAGGAAATATACTGATTGGGCAGATAAAGAAGTCACGATAACAGAAACACGTGCAGGATAAACAACAATAATACTGAATGGGTACAATTTCGAAAGGAAGGATATAATGTTACATCAGCTGAATAACAGAATATACAAATATTGGAATAGCCCGAATAAGCGTCACTAATCAGAATAAGCATAGCATCAATCTAGAAATAGACGAAATAATAATATTTCAATAGAACATGAAAAGGATGAAAAGCGACATCTACGGTACACAAAAACAAATATGGAGATTTATAAGAAACCAATGGAAAGAAATGGCAGAATTAAAGGAATACAATAACATTCCAGCAAACGAATGGGAAATATACCTGACGGAACTGTTTAAAGCAAAGGAAAATAATAATCAACACAATAACGTACCTGAATTAAGACACAAAATAGAAATCAGTTTTCAGGAAGTAGAAATAGCCATAAATTCGCTCAAAAATAAAAAGTCGCCAGACCAGACGGATTAACCAACGAGCTTCTAAAATACGGAGGAGAAATTATAACCCTAGAGATGACAAAACTTAACAAAAACTAATATTGCACTGCAAGATACGAGACGCATGGAGAAACAGCATAATTATACCAATGTTCAAGAAAGGAGAATATAGAGGTATACGCACTTTGAGCTTACCACAAAAGTCCTAACCAATAAAATCAATAAACTAACAACTTTATCAGATGAACAACAAGGATTCAGATCCGGAAGATCCTGCGTAGACGCCGTATTTGTACTAAGATAAATCACAGAAAAGGCCATCAAGTACAATAAACCAGCATATCCATATTTTATAGACCTGACAAAGGCTTTCGATCGCAACCAAGTCGAAGACGTCTTACACCTACTGTATAAAAGAAACATGCCAATCAATATTATACAAACCATCGAAAACATCTACCTCCAAAATCGAATACAGGCAGAAATAAATGAAAAACTAACACAGTGTATACTAGTACAAAGCGAGTCAGACAGGGTGACTCGTTGAGCCACTCCTATAATAATATTGGACGAAATAATACAAGCAGTACGTAAAGGTCATGGCTACAGAATGGAGAACAAAGAAATCCAAATAATATGTTATGCAGACGACGCCGCATTAATCGCCGAGACAGAAGACGAGCTCCAAATAGATTAAACACATAATCTGAACAAACATTACGAGATGTTGAAGAAGAAGTACGACAACAAAGCTTAAAAGCAAGTAAAGCGGCAGGTTCTATTAATGACACAATCTGGAAGGAACAAACACCTAAGACAAGACACAAAAACAAGAATCTATAAAGCAGCAATTAGACCTATATTAACATACACGGTGAAGACAAGACCTGACATATCTAAAACAAGACGACTGCTAGAAAAAACAGACAGAAAAATACTCCGACGAATATCAGGGTGAAGTCTATTGGATAGGGAGAGAAGCGAAAATATAAGAAGAGCATGCAATATAGAAGACATAAATGGATGGGTGACAAAACGAAAATAGGAGTGGAACGAACATATCAGTAGAATGGCAGAGGATAGAATAGTACGAATAGCACGAGATAAGTCACCAAGGTGGACGAAGAAGTATTGGCAGACCAAGAAAAAGATGGTGCGACAATTTAGGAGGCTAATATTGAAGAAGAAACAGGCTTTAAAGCCTACATACTAGAAGGCAGAAGAAGAAGAATACAATAGAATATGAGACATGTTGAAGAAAAATACTCCAATATGCGTAGATACGAGTAAAAAAACAAGAAAATAAAACGACATACATTTTAATTACTATATTATTTAAATGTTTGTTCCAAGTTTTAATTTTTTTGTTTAATTAACTAGAAATAAGGTCAAATTATATATCTAAGAAAGAAAAACAAAATTATCGAATGTGTTTGTGTAATGAAAGAACGTAATACTATATAGACAAACTAATTAAGTACGAGTAAAAATGAAATATTTACTTCTCATATCAAACATGGTTGACAAAACCCTTGATACGGTGTGCCATTAAAATACACATAATATATTCAGATGCGTTTAAAAAGAACTAGACAGGGCTGCATATTATTACCATGATTATACAAATATGGTATTAAAAAAGATATATGGTATTAAAAAAAGTAGATAAACCAAGCATGCCTAATTTAGTTCGGCCACTTAGCTAGAAGAACGGGGACCATGGAACTATTGATAATGGAACGAAAGGTAAAAGACCGAAAAGATCTCACCACGATAGGCAAAATAAATGAAGACTCTGGTAGGACAATACCGACATAAAGCCGTCCATATTATGGCGCAGTATCGCAGCCAACAGAGACAGCAAGCTAATAATATTTAAAGTGTCACCAAGCCGTGACAAGGGTTTAAGTAATGAGGAGGAGCTGAAAAATTTGGATAAAACTATTAAATGGGATCATTGCTAATGTCGAAGTTGGTAATGAATATTAATAAATGTTATACTATATTATACTATATCTAATCTTGTACTTGAGTTAATGTTTTTAGTTCTAACTTAAAAAATACGGGTGTTGTTTTCAGTAATCGCCGCGCAAACATTTCCAAGGCCGTATATGGTAAAAAATTAAAATATCTAGAATAAAATTCATTTTATGAAGAAACGATCAGAAAAAAGGTTCGATAATAATAAATTAACCATAGGCACCAAAACAAGAACAATCAGCTAAATTTTTGTTATCCTACCCAATAGTTTGGTAAACCACATAAAAAAAACTAGCAATATTAACACTATTATTTTAAAAACCATTTTACTATTCTTATCGAAGTGTCTTTACTCACCTTTTGTTTTACTCGGCATTGAAAATAGTAAAAATCACTTTTTAATTAGTTTCAAATAAAAGGCGTTTTTTATTACGCTTTCAATTCAAACGTCTATAAACTTAGAATTTAATACTC